GTGTGTGTGTGTGTGTGTGTGTGTGTGTGTGTGTGTGTGTGTGTGTGTGTGTGTGTGTGTGTGTGTGTGTGTGTGTGTGTGTGTTTGGTTGTCCGTGTGTGAGCTGGCACATGGCTCACCATTTCCACAAACTCTTGGCTGGGAAGTTGTACTGCTCATAAATTACCAAAAATATCAACCCAGCAAATCCCCCCAGCCTGCTACCAGGCTGTGTGTGTGTCTGTGTGTGTAAGGTCTTCTTCTTCCCACATGCACCCTTTGTCCCGTCCTGCAGGGTGTCTGGCGGCGAGCTGTTCGACCGAATCGTGGAAAAAGGATTCTACACGGAGAAAGACGCAAGCACGCTGATCCGGCAAGTCCTGGACGCCGTTAACTACCTGCACAGGATGGGAATCGTGCACCGAGACCTGAAGGTAACACACTCAAACACACACACACACACATTCCCTGCTTCTTCACTGAAGTCTTACCCCACATACACACAAACACTCACTCTCCCATTCCACACTTTAAATCCACACAAGTGCTTCATTCTCACTTGACAGCCCTTGATTTACTGCTGCAATAAGGGCAGCAGCTCGACACATGCAGTGCATTGTGGGTGAGTGTAGTGTGTGTCAGCTGTTTGAAGGAATGGATTGGTCAGAGTGACCTCCATTAACCAAGACTGTGTAAAATGAGCAATAAGGTTGTCTGTCTATTAACTGCCTGAGACATTAAACAAAGTGACAGTGTTTGTAATCCAAAATTCTTTCTTTCTTTCTTTCTTTCTTTCTTTCTTTCTTTCTTTCTTTCTTTCTTTCTTTCTTTCTTTCTTTCTTTCTTCTTCAGCCAGAGAACCTGTTGTATTTTAATCCTCAAGACGAGTCCAAGATTATGATCAGTGACTTTGGTCTTTCAAAGATGGAGGGCAGCGGTGACGTCATGTCAACTGCCTGTGGCACGCCAGGATATGTGGGTAAGCCGGTCGCACCGTCACCGCCTGTCCTCAACGTTCTTATTTCTTTCCTCTTAAAATCACAGTTTATCCCCTCTGTTAGTGCTGTTACTGTTTTTGGTCGTTAAAAGACATACAAGAAAATAACCACTGTTAGCTAACAGTAGCCAGAACCAAACAAAGAGATCTTTATTTGTTTTTGGAGATAAAAAAATCTATTGTGGTTTCGTCTGACAACTGTGAGCTAACACTAGCTTACCTGTTTACACAGATAAATTGCAACTTGTCTAAAGTCGCAAAATGCTGTAACGAGAGATGAAGGTCCGGTTCATCCAGACCTTCAAATCACTTCTGGCATTACACACTAATGACTGCACACAAAAAAGGAGAAAAACACAGTTTTTCAAGAACCCCCCCCCCAAAACTATCCGTACCCCATGATTCAGTGGCTTGTGGAAGCATCTTTAGCAGCAGTAACTTGAAGTAATTGTCTTTTGTGTGACTTTTATCTGTCTCTCACATAATTGTGGAGGAATTTATGTCCCATTTTCTTTATAAAGTTGCGTCATTTCAGTGAAGTTTATAGGCATTCATTTATGCGTGGCTCTATTAAGGTCCCATCACAGCATTTCAATCAGGTTGAGGTCTGGACTTTGAGCCACTGCTACACCTTGATTCTGTTCTTTTTCAGCCATTCTGTTGCAGATTTGCTGCTGTGCTTGGGATCATCGTCCTGTTTCATGACTTCATTTTTCTTTGACAGATGGCCTCACATTTGACTCATGAATCCTTTGATAAACAGAGTAGTTTATGGTCGACACAATAGCTGTCAAGGTCCTGTGGCTGCCAAACAAGCCCAAATCATTACTCATCCACCACCCTGCTTGAGAGTTGGTATGACGCGTTCGTGCCATATTTGGTTTTCTCTCAACCTGGCATGTTCAAAGATCCTCACTTTGGTGTGGACATTGTTCCACAGTCTGGTTTGTTCAAATGGAACCTTACGTACCGAACATGTGCTGCCATTTTTCGAGAGAAGAGGCTGTTTCCTGACAAGTCATTCTTGTTCATTCGTTTTCTAAATGCCCTGTTAGGCCTGTAGAGTCTAAGATGTAGCTCTTTGGGTTCGTTCGACCCTCTCCGAGCATTACAAAGTTTGACCTAGTTCGACTAGTTGGACTTAGCTGTTTCTGTAATGATTCCTGTGAGCCAACAAACACGTGATAAATTAAATGAGCACATGTTGTTCCCATCTGACGCCGTTTACACTTCCTGCATCATCTCTTTTCTTCCCATGTCATCTGGAGCGATGCGTGTTTGTGCTTCACACACCCCAGTCATGCTTGTCACTCTGAGACAGACAGTCATGCTCTGTATCATATTATATCTCATTTTTGTGTGAATCTCTGTGTGCAGTGTGCTTAATCTGCTTGTGTGTGAGCATTTCTTTGATTGCATTCTACAGGAGACAGAGGTTCGGTGACACACATTTGCATGTTGCAAAAGTCGTATAAGTCGCACAAACAGATCATTTCCCACTATTCACACAGAAAGGTACATAAATGTTGAATCGTTTTTGTTGCAGGGCAGCTTTACTAAATCCAGCTGTGTGTCTGTTTAGGTTCTCAATCGTCCGTGTCATGGTGGACTAAAGTGCTTGAGTCGAAGCCACTCGCAGAACTGGAGTGGCCTTTTAGATGAGTTGGGAAATATCTTCAAGAACCTGAAAGAACTCCAGCTGTCTTTGGCTCAAGCGCTTCAAAGCACCCAGCTGTTCTTCAGTTTTTTTTTGGTGTACTATCTTTAAAGAGTCAGTTCACATTCTCACCCAGTCAGCAAAAAATTTGCATCGTTTTACTTTGAAAGGTCAGAACTTTGCATCAATTCCTCTCATCCGTGAGAGGAACTCCTGCAGTTTTTCCACTCAAGGTGCTTTGTGTGAAAATACAATCAAAGAAGGTGACAATTTACAACTGCGTCTGAATGAAAGACTCAGTTTTCGTTGTTATTTTTTCATTTTCTCATTATGATAACTTTCAACTGTTAAATTTGCTTCTTCCAGCAAAAAGAAAAGTCACGCTTGGAAATAGGACATAGCCAAAGACCCACTACGGGGTTAGTTCAGTGATTGACTATTAAGAAATTACACATTATGATTGTACCCTGATACCGACTCTGGACTTAGTGAGCTGCAGACACGGTGATCTCAGTGGGTAAAAATGCTCCAGTTCTGCATCCAGAAAACCCAGAACAGACACACACACAATGAGTCAGATTAGACTAATAAGCAAATGTAAGCACTCAGATTCAGCACAAGTGTGCAAAGTTTATATTTTGACTCAGATATGACTGGTGTTCCTTCTGTGTGTATGTGTGTGAGCATGCCAAATCTATTTCGAGAGCCTTGTGTGTGTATATGTGAGGTGATATTACGGCGACCTCGCTGTCATCAGTAATTTGCTCTGTCCAGGGCCTTCGGTAATGAGCTGCAGAGAAAGGTCGGGCCTGGAAAGTCTCCCTTACCGACACCAGCAGCAGAGAAAATGGGTCTGAAGCTAACTAGAAGAGCTAGTTGGAGCTAGTTGTACCATGTATTTCTGCACCTATGAGAATCTGTACCTCCTGCAGAATATTTCCCACCGTGCACCGAACTTGCATGTGATTTTAATTTCAACAGACATGAGGTGTCTGCATATTTTCTCTGTACTCAGTCTCATTAAACAGCCCCTTTTTCATATAAAAATCACACCGCAGTTGTTACTGGACCTCAAGCTGAAAAAGTAAAAACGCACTGTAGTTAGGTTTACCACCAAACTGAGGTCGTTTCAAAGCCGTTTTTTTCCCTAACCCCGCTGTGTCTGCTTGTTTCTCCCTCTCTCTATCAGCTCCAGAGGTTCTCGCCCAGAAGCCGTATAGTAAAGCAGTCGACTGCTGGTCCATTGGAGTGATCGCCTACATCTTGTAAGTACCAATTAAACTTCTTTATATTCCACTGTACAGGAAGCAGTTTCCATCAATCACCATGACTGACATCACCAGAAAGCACATAAGCTCCATTAGCACCGGGTCATGGTCACGGTGGGAAATCTGAATTCTTGATGCCTTATTCATCATTAAGGTTGTGATAATCGTGTTCATTGCCAGAAATGCGGCCAAGTCAATCAGCTAAATACATTCACAGGTTTGCCTTGCATTGAGTCACATGACTGCTAACCATTCGCTTGTCCATCCGTTGTATACACGTAACGCTGTAGGGTGAATTAATTTTTTTTTGAAAATACCAATTAGGAAATTGTTAACTGAAGTCATAAAACCAGTAAGAAGTAGGGTCGTTTTCTCATAGATTTCAATACAATGAGACCAGAGAAGTTGTCGCCCCTAGAGGCCATGCAGGCTTTGAAATAACTGAAATAACCCGTGTCTAGACACAGGTATGAAGCAGTTTTAGGTTATTGTAATCGTGTTTAATTAGTGTGTTATTTACACCTTTGGTTTTCCTCCTGTGACATATTTTTACCAAATCTTCCATCTAACATTATATCAAATCTCTGAGTAGCTATTAAAGTCATTTTACAAGTTCCCTTGGATGTAATCTTTGTAATTAAATAGAATGAAGGTCTTTATAACAGCACAACAAAACAGCCATTTTCATACTAGTAGTTTTCTAATCATCAGCTGGGCTATGGAGACCTGGCTCGGCCATGTATGAATCACAAAATTGAAAACACCTTAACTGGAAAATCTGTTTGTAAACATGCATTCCATTCACATCACATTTACGCTCATTAAGCGGATCTCCATCTAGCCTTTGTCACCCTTCTCATTCACGTAGTCATGAGTAACTGCTCTGCAGTGAATACAAAAGCCAGGCACACGTAGTGACTCACTTTACCTTAGACCCTGCACACACACAAAATCACTGTGTCAGTTGTAATGTTTTCCGACTACAAACACACAACCCTGGCTAGTTTGTGAATCTTTGTCATGTACTATCAGCTGCTTCCAGAGACTGGAGATCTGCTGCATGGCCTTGTAAGGACTTGAGGCTTTGGACGAGATTTCATTTTCTTGTTTTTCACCAGTGTTGGTGAACAATGGAAACCATGTTTGTGTGCTCAGACTGCAATCTTGTTGTTGAGAACGCCACTGTTGGAGTTATTTTAAGGTGTACGTTGCCTCTGCATCTTCATTTATGTTTAACACCTGAGGAGCAATCAGTGAGCTCACAGTGGTTGAGAGGAAAGCAGGCGCAAACAAACTCACGTGACTCTCTCGCGCTGACTTTTTCTCTGTCTTTCTCCCGTTTTACGCTGTACTTTGTGGTGAGTAGTGAAGTAAATGCTTTTGCTAGTAAAAAGCATTTGGTGGATTTGACAGCACAGTAGAAATGGCTGTGCGTGTGTATGTCCGTGTGTTGCTGTGTGCGTGCAGGGTAAAAGAAAGAGCAACTCCCTGCTGGCAATTAGCACAATTAGCGTTGGGATTCAGACCTTGTTAGGTTTTGACTGCTGCTCAGGTGGAAAGATCACATCAGGTAATCAACCATGATAATCAGCCAGGATCCCGAGTGCAAGTGTATTTGTGTGTGTGTGTTCGATGGAGTGGAGGGTCAGCCGAGTAACATGACAAGTGAGTCTTTAAGCAAATGAGAAAGCAAAAAAAACAAAGCAGAAAGCCCTTTTCCCCTCACGGCAGGCAGAGTCCTCCTTCCTCTCTGCCCGGTGCGTTTCCCTTTTATTCTTTCTTTCCGGTGTGTATTGATGGAGAACGGCATTTTAATGAGTTTTTATGAAAATCTCCTGGTGCATCCAGAACCTCGGTAATGAGGTGTTTTGGACTGAGCGGCAGCTCTGCTGTTGCTCCGCTTTGTGTCGTTATGGAAAATCAAACTTGGACTTAAGTTCATTTGTGCTCATCAGCACCAAGAACCAGTAATCTCATGTTAATGCGATTAAGGCGATACAGCCAACTACCACTGCTACTACGCAGTCACAGTAATACACTGCTCTGAGCTCAAGTCCAGATGTGACAACAATACTGCGACACCACCTACTATTAATTCAAGTTTGCAAGTTTAGCAGGGGTACTGGAGGGTAGCAGAGTAACTGGAGTACTTAAATCTTGACTGCAAATTGTTCTTTGTTACCAGTTTTAAAGCGACCACTGCAAGCCACAACCTGCCTTCACAGATGCATTCTGAAGTGCGGACATTCCTCCTTTTAGATAGTACCTCGGATTTCCTACAGCCAGACTCATAGTCATGACAGTCAGCAATAATCTTTTACTAAGTTTTATAGGATGTATATTCTCTATCTTCACCACATATTTGATCTTTTTCTAAACCTAACCCAGTACTTCACAAAGTTGTTTTTAGCACCAAAGCCTAAACAGGAATTTTGTTTTGATCTGATAATGTATTTCAAAAAGTGGTACACAACTGAGGCAAGCTATCTTGTCATTTCTTTAAGCAGCCTTCGGGAATAGTTCTCCAGGCTTCCTGAAGGACATTCAAAGCTCTTCTTTGGATGTTTTCTGCCTTTTGTTCTGTTCTCTGTCGAGACGATCCCTCACTGCTTCAGTAATGTTGAGATCTGGGCTCTGGTAGGCCACTGTGTGTTTTTCTCTCCAGGTCTGCATTGGCAGTGGGTTTGGGATCATTGTCATACTAAACAATGAAGCCACTGCCAATCAGACTCTGACTTTTCTATGTTCATAATTTCATCAGTTGTCACAACAACACTGGCTGAAATTCTGCCCGGAACCACGACAGAACCGTGTTTTGCAGATGTCAGTAGACACTCACTCTTGTACATATTGATGGTGATTTAAACTTAAAATTTCAAATTCCTATTCATCAGTCCATAAGATCTGTTACCACAGATTTTTAGTCTAGTCTTGTGTAATTTGGTATACCAAAGCCTGGCTGTCAAAGGCTTTTTTATAGCACCCTTCCACTGAGATTATTTCTGAAGAATCTTCAGTGAACAGCAGATGATCACCTGCTGTGGCTAGTTTTTTTTAAGCCTGCCACATCTTCTATTGTCCCCCACTTTTTCAGTTCCCTTGGATTTTCTTTTAAAGAACACACTGAACATCATGCTGCGATATACCAGGTTTTCAGCTAAATAGCTGTTTGAGAATCACCTTGTTAGTGCAACAATACAGGTTTATACCTGCCATTGTCTTTGGTATTCTTCATAGATTCATCTGGGAACAAGTGATGTGTTTGTGCAGCAGGCTGCTAGTAACAAAGTGCATTAAGATACAGTTTAAAATGGGCTCTTTGCCAGTTTGTTGTCTGTGTAGAAACAACACTGGTTCGTCCCTTGGGTTATGTGCTTTATTATGCTTCAGTGATTCAGAGGTCAGCATTAAGTGACTTAACAACAAAAAAAGAATCCTCTGAAGATCATTGGATACAACAACTGAACTGAAAATGGGTGAAAAAACAGCCAGTGTAGAAAGGAAAATGTAGATTTTTTTAAATTACAAGAAAGTCTGGTTTCTTGGAAGCAAAATACAGAAAAATGAAGGGTGGGTGGATTTTTAAGTCAAATTGTGGTCTCTGCCATGAGTAGCAAAATCCTTACAGGCTATAAATCTCTAAATAAGGAGTTTTTTACCTTTTAAAAATTAAATATATTCATTTCATATTCAGGGATCCTGTAAAGAGAAAAAGAAAACCTGTCAAATTCATGTCTAGAAACACAAATCTGCCTGTGGCACTACACTGTTGCCTACATGTGAGGCATTTAGGGGACATATGTAAATTGTAGCTACAAAGATTAATCTGGGTTACAGTATTCCCTTACAGACACAGATCTAGTCTGTCTCTTACATACACATGTGTTTGCATTTAACACTATGTGTCCTAAGCAAGGCAGTCATTTCAAAAGGGTGACAATGAGTAAAGGGACTGTGTAGTAATCAGTGAAATCATTTATTAATGAAAATAAGTGACTGTTAAAGATTCGACCAAAAGAATAAATATCTCGTCTGCAGGTTGTGTGGTTATCCTCCATTCTACGACGAAAACGACTCCAAGCTGTTCGAGCAGATCCTGAAAGCTGACTATGAGTTTGATGCACCGTACTGGGATGACATATCAGACTCAGGTGAGGCCTCCTCTTCCTCCTCCTTCCTCCACCATCTGTCCTTCCGCCTCCTCGGTCCATCATGTGGCACATGTGGCCCACACACCACCTTTCCATCATAGTCGCTGATTTAATCTGCATGGAATGAAAATATGTGAGAGTAAGTGTGCGATGTGTGGTTTCATCCATTACCAGCACAGTTACGGGCATAGACTGGAAGTAAAACCAGCGTTCTATTGGCTGGAAGTCTATTTCAGTCACCAGTCTATTGTGTTAGTGAGGATAAAATCGCATTTATGGACTGTCAAGAAAAGCTTTGTGTTTTCAGAAGTGTCAAGTTTCCTCAGAGCAAATAGAAATCACTCCTGCACATTGCTAGTAATGTAGAATTAACAGAGGTCAACTTGGCTGATACAGTGAAAACCAGATGGTACACACAGCCCACGTTCTCAGTAGAAACCAAACAGTGCAACATGTGACATCTGAAAACATCTTTCCCTGATCGAAATGTCAAAGATTTTCAGTGCCGCAAAATGTTTTGTGAGTGGGTTTTAACGTAGTAAAAAACAATGTGGTGTTTATATGTTTGGTTTGTTTTTCTCCCAGCCAAGGATTTCATCAGCAGACTGATGGAAAAAGACCCAGCCAAGCGTTTCACTTGTGAACAGGCGCTCAGACACCCCTGGTGAGAAACACACATGCACGCACAAACACACACACACAACAGCATCACAAAAATCCATCAAATCAATATTAATATTGATGTTGATGTACATTCAGAAGTATTGACTAAGAAATTGTGTTTTTGTGTCGTTATATATATATCTCAGGATCGCTGGGGATACGGCTCTCTGCAAGAACATCCATGAGTCAGTCAGCCGGCAGATCAGAAAGAACTTTGCCAAGAGCAAATGGAGGGTAAATTTTGTTTACTGCAGTTTATTCTCTGTGGTTTTGGCTCTACTGCAATAGACTACATTACCCTATTACAGCTCCTCAGCCAACTGTTTTTAGAAGGTGAATCACTCAGCAATAAAAACCTGGCTTGTCTCGTGGGTAAGATCTACCTCTCAACAGCTATTTACCCCTAAAGAAGTCAGAAGAAATAAGAACAAACTTCAGATTTCAAACAATTCCCATGTTCCACAAATGAAAATGATTTACTAGGTCATTTTAACACAATATCATTTACCATAACGTTACCAGGTTATTGAACTCTGTCGTCATAATAAGGTATGGCTCAAGAGTTTATGGTCTCAGTCATTAGTTTGAACTCTGTTTAAATACGGCTAGATGTTAATTTTTTAAACAATAGTTCCCATTAGTGTACAGAAGGATGATAAAGCAGGGTATACTTTAGTGCAGACCTAAGTTGTGATGGCTCAGCGTGCATTGTCCCAAGGTTTCGTGATCAGATTTTTCCTTTTGTTTCTATGCTCTTCACAGCAAGCGTTCAATGCCACTGCCGTGGTTCGGCACATGAGGCGGCTGCAGCTTGGCAGCAGCATGGGGAGCAGCATTGATGCGTCCAACGCACCGACTAGGCCGAGTCAGACGCAGAAGTCAGCCCAAAGCCAGAGCCAGGCGGGCCAGAACCAGCCGGCTCAAAGCCAAAATACCGGCCAGACGGCGCAGAGCCAGAGCACCAGCGCTGTCGCCAGCAAGATCTCTTCCATCGATAACAACATAGCAGCTCCCCACAAAGATTGTGAGTATGATTCAGTGGTGTCAGTGGCATCAGAAAGTTAAGAGAACATATGTGAGCTGTTCATAGGAGTATGTAACAGTGAATGAGCTAAATTTAGGGCACAGTGTGGGAGCGCAGTGCCTTGCAGTGTCTTCAGGATTTGGGACGCTATGAATTCCAGAAAAAGTGCATTTACCTGATCATACTGAATAGGTGTTCCACTTCTTTGGTTTAACAAACTCCTGGGTTGCTTTGGCTGTATGTTTGGGGTCACTGACCTTCTGTATTATGAAACACTGCCCAATCAATTTGAGCATGAGTATGTCACTGAACACCTCAGAATTCATTCGTCTACTTCTGTCCTGTGTCACATCATCAATAAACACTATTGTCTCAGTGTCACTGGCAGCCATGCACGCCCAAACCATCACAATGGTTCTGCTTTATAGATGATGTGGCATGCTTTGGATCATGAGCTGTTCCACGCCTTGTTCATACTTTTTTCTTGTCCAAATATATATGGACCTAACTGTATTTCTATAAAACACTGCTTTTCATTATAAAAATCAAATGTGCTGTTTGAAAATATAAACAGCAAGATTTCTGGTTTTTTAGAGGGGTAGCCCTGACAATGGAGAGGAAATGTTAATGTAAGTACGGAACAGATTTACACTTAATACCTCATCTCAAAGATGGAGCAGTGCGGTTTATTGGTGTAGCTCTAGTTACATCTTTGAGATAGACACACCTCATAAATGGATTGGATTTTAGTGCAAGAGAAATGAACAGTGGTAAACCTTGTTCAGCGAAGATTGAGTTAGTAGACGGCAGGGCTTGTAATACAATTCTGAACAATAAAATTTACACTAAATTACATGAGCTAAGGGCCAGAACAGCGTTACATTTATTACCTACGTTATTTTGTATTTTTCCTCAACATATTTAGCTGTACAGTGCAAAAGCTGTTTCATGTCTTCACTTCTTTATCAAAGTGAAACTAATTTTATCTTAGTGATCCAGTCACTAGTGAGAAATGCAAGCCTGTGGTTTTCTACTTCTTTTGGAAATCAAGGAGGGGTTTCAGTATTACAAGCACCTGATGCAGCTTCTCATTCCCTTCTTTCAGGTGTCACTGCACCAGTCACACCCTGCAGCCTGGCATCTGCAGCCTCTTCTCCTGCCACGGGGACGGAGCTGAACCGGCCACACCCATCTGCGGTCCCCGCCCCGGTTCTCACGGAAACCAAGTGACGCCAGGTCCCGCGGGGAACCAGCTGGGAGGCCACGGCGCTGTGAAGCAGGGAGAGCGGGAAAGAAAGAGAGATCGAGGACGACCAGTGAGGAAGACGATCGCCCTCTTCTTTGTCCCTCCCTCTCTTCGCTTTACTGCCTCTCGGATAGGCCCCCCAGCCAGTACCCCGCCCTGCTCGTGGGAGAGCAGAGGACTTTACCGCCACCCCACCGATTCAAGCCACCATTGTCATACTGCACACCCACCAGGATGTCAGCGTAAAACTCGTCCTGCCACAGCCACAGCACACCCACGGTCTCACACCGGGGATGTTCACACAGTTGGCTTTGATCATTACCTGATAAAATGGTGTCCACTGCTCCACCTGTGAGCTGCAGTTGGTGGTTCACGGTGGAGCTGCTGGTGTCATACAAGTTCAACCTTCCCATTCAATCTGATCTTTCCCGCATCAATTTATTTAGTTTTTTTTTCCGACTTAGGTTTGACTGTTGGCAAACGGATTGTTTTACTTTTATTAACTGCTGTTAAATTTAAAGACGCTATGTGTAACAAACATATCATTGTCAAATTGATATTGCTACCTTGGCATAATTAGTGTAACCAAATGAGACAATACCCAAGATGAACCACATGTAGTTCCTCTTTATTAATAGCTGTTGTTGTGTTAGGATCTAAATTAGAACCCAATTCCCATCATCGCCAGATGCTTGGTCTAAAAACAGCAAATCTCACTTCCTGTTAATCAAACACATCTCCCTGCCAATCTGACCTGGTAATTGTGGAACACAGAAAACAGGCGGTCGTTGTTTTTTTTAAACACAAATGATGCAGATGTAGCAAATTCATGTTGACAGTGGTTTATCCGTGTAAAAATGCCACACATAGCACCTTTAAGACATTTGTGTGTCCTTATGGGCTTGGTTCTCTGTTTGTTTGTTCATGCTTTAAGAAGTGCTTTAAAAGTACCATATGACTGTTGAGATGTGGAAACATGAGTAAGCGCTTTATCTATTTTGCACAGAAAGGATCAGACATAGATTAGCTGCCATTCACATGTGTTTATCAGAGTGAGTAGAGATTGTAAACCTTTATTGATTGGATGTCAGAGCATTATACAACTTGTTTATTGTCTGAAAGATTCTGATTTGTTTATTATTTTCTTACTTTATTAAAACTTTTATAATAATTGCCCTTTAAGGGACACACATAATGGTTATTAAGAAACATGGAATAAGTTTAGGATAGAATTAGAACACATAGAGATAAGTATTTACTGGAAAACACGTCCAGGTAAAAAAGTCAGAAACTAAAGATGGATTGTCATTAGACTTCCCAAGGAGCTACAGGCAGCGCAGCATAGTTACTAAAAGAAAGGCCTGGTGGGTCCTCAGAGACACAATCCAGAATGGAGAAGCTGTAGCCTGCCGTCGTTCTTTATGTCTCTACCGAAGCCATGATCTCACCTTCTTTATTTGTCAAGCTGCACCCAGTCCAGAAGTGCTCAGGGAAAACTGCAGCTGCACTGTGCGCTGGTGAACACCAGTTTCCTGATTTAGTCTTTTTATTTTTGGGGTTTGTCACAGTCCGGCCGTTCCAGCCAGCATTGCAGTTAATGATCCAGGCTTCAGGACGTTAGCTGTGTCCTTACTGTAGTGTTGTGTTGGTGCGCGACTTCACCATTGATAATTTAGACCTGGACTTCTATTGACCATATACATACGTGGGCTCACTGCAGGCAACAGCAGGGCATCGATGCTTACTTTTGAAGCTTTTTTTGAAGCATTTTCAAAGAAACGTCACGAAATGTAATTAAAGACTGAAAGCAGCGATTCACCAACCACGCTGGCTGATACCTGCAGCACTTTTCAAAGAAGTTGGGACAGGGGCATATTTCATAATCACCACTTATTTCAATTGTTTTGAAAAACCTGGAGGCCGATTGCTGTAGTTTTAAAAGAAAAAATGTTTATCCCACTAATCTTTGATATTGGATTTCAGCTGCTCCGCAATATTTCTGATAGCTTTTCAGAAGCATTTCTGAACACATGCAGTGATTTCCATTAAAGAAAAGCAGCAGCAGTAAGTTGCAACTAACCTGTCCTATGGTGGCAGTTGATGATCTCTATGGACGGTTTATGCTTGTCAGTGTAGCCCTAAAACATGTGCAAGTGTCCCCAGGTTAGGCTTTACCACCTTTTAAGAGATTACAGGGCTGTACTGATGTCACTGGTGATGCGTGCAACACCCAAGTCCAGGTTTTTTAGGCATTAATCTACTTTTCCAGTCGTTATTTCTGCCCCAACTCTTTCAAACTTTTTGCTGTTTTCAAATATATAATGATATATAATATTACTTCATGTTTTCTTTATGCTATTTTCAATTCAGTGCGGAGGTTAGGACATGGTAAATCAATGCATTCTCTTCGTTATTTACATTCTACATGTTGTCCCAACTTTTTTGGAAACGGGGCTCTAAATAAATGCACAGATCCACGACTCAGTCAGTATTTTTGACTACTAACCCGACTTTTGTTTTCATCACCTAATGGAACTCTTGAACATGGCTAATGGCCTTTCCTGTCCCAGAACGCAGAGCTGTACAATGTAGGGTGCTCACTCACACATATCAGATTGTCATGTCTTTATTCGATGCAATTGTACCGATCCCTTTATTGAATTGTAGCCAAAGACTATTGCTTGGTAATGAAGACAATTTGGTTCATTCTGCAGTGCTTGACAAATTAGAACAAAACTAGCCAGATTTGAAGTTGTTCAAGATGGAAACTAAGGGCTTAATTATAGCTGCAAAATAACCTAAAGAGAACGTTTTGTGACCTTTTATCTTTTCAAAATCTGTTGCCATTTACATTATTTTTATTGCCTGAATTGTCTTGCTAAAAAACTGTGTTCATAGTGCTTGTCTCGATATGTGGCAGTATGAGGTGGGTGTGAGGCCACATTTGGATAAAATTTGGGTTAAGGTGAAAATGACAGTAAATCTACACTCACAGAAGTTTTCTCAAATTCATTTTTGGTTCACTGCACAGTTCTGTGTGTTAGACTCCATCTACCATCTAGTTTATCATCTCTTTTACCCTCACTGAAAGGATAAGGAGTAATGTTTCTAAAGTATTTCTGCATTTTTCCTATCGTCAGCTAATGACAAAGTCACACTAGGGTAAAAGTGGCTGAAGATTGCAGCATGTCCAAAATTACTGTGGCGATGTAGAACGATATTATGATCTTGCTTTCTTTGAAATGGTTGCTTCGAACACTGGGACCAGTCTGCAACCACTCGCAGTCAACTGCCCCCTTCAAAGCAACTTTGGTGTGTCAGGAAGGCAATAAAATGGCAATAACACCAAGTCAGTCTGCTATCAGTTTGTGATGGAATGGAAACAAGTTGGTAATTACATGCTGTCTGTTTGTGATAACACTCATTAACTTTGATAAATTGGTTAAAATTGCTAATTTGTTGCCATCTTCATACACAGAAATTCATCAGAACCTCATAGATTTGAAACAGACTCAGAAATGACTCTATAAGTAATGACTTAGTTGCTGCATGATGGCAATTTATTCCAAAAATGGCATAGGTGCTTGGCAACCTTGCATTTATATTGGAATATAACCAGACTACAACCAGTTGAGACGAATCCTCTTGCAGATGAGTTGCACTCACTAGCACACTGACTGAGATTGATTGCAGTGTGTTGGCAATTTGTCTGTTTTTAAAGTGTGTTAATTTACACACCAATTATTTCTAAATTCTGCCATTCAGAGTCTGTGTTTGGAGACTGGTTGCTTTCGTCACTAAAAGCAGAAAACTTGAAAATGCAAGTTCCAGGTCATCATCCTATTTTTCTCTATAATAGCCATAATCCCACAAAAAGTCCAAAACCAGCATTGTGTTTAATGTATCTTACCTAGTTTACAAAGTTCTTGCCCCATCTGAAGCTCTGACCCCAGAGTCCTTCCTTCTGTTGGTTTTTCAAAGATAAGATGTGGGTCCAAGTATGTGTGATGAAGCAAAATTTCCAGCCTAATCCAGCAGTGTGTCTAAGGTGATGTGTTTCTAATAGGTTTCGGCCAAAACATTATGCACAAAAAACGCCTGTTTTTGTAGGTGCGCTCGTTATTGGCTTTGCTTGAAGGTTGTTCAGGGGAAGAAAAATGTCATTTATAATCTTTTGAAGGATGACAACATAAAAATCCATCAGCTATAATACACAATGTAAAGTCGCAGAAAGACCATAAACTACTGATTATGTATTTTAGGTTAATGTTCAGTTAGTCACATTATGGGATGTGGGCCCACCCCATATTGGAGAAATAAAAAGTCAGTATATCTTTAGCTTTTCATTCTGTCTGTGGCAGTGGGATATTTGACATTTTAAATACCCTTTTAATGGATAGAAGACTGCGAAAAACACTAATCATGCTGCAGTTCTTGTTTATAAAACTACAGTCTTCGCAGAATGTACTGTTTTTCAAGCACTATAGGATAAATTGTAAAACTTGCATAATATATGGTGACACTAGTGATGCATGCACTTCTCGGTGTCATGAAGACTATTCATTGGCTGAAAACACTTCTGTTACTTTATGCACAATGCTGTAGCAACCAAGCAAGTCTGAAGTTCGATGAGTATGAATATTTAAGGCAGCGTGGGTCAGGGCAGTCAAAAAAGAAGCAAACTTCTAATGTTTGAACTGCTGCACACATGCCTGCGCACAGATAGTTGAGATTTCTGAAGGTTTGCATTTATTCCAACACATTTTTCTGAGAGGAAACTAATCCGACTCTGACGTCAATGTATACCGAAGGGAACTTTCTACCGTGTAAGGGCTTTATTCCAATGACCACCTTAATCTTATTCTTCACTGTTATCGCGTCGATTTACCCATTGATTGCTATGCATTTTTTAAAAACATTTGAAGTGTGTTGTCAATGTTTTTTATTTCTGGAAAGCATGATCAGGAAACAAAAGAAAACATCAGCAGCTCTATTTAAATCTATTCAAGACCATTTCACTCATTTACCTATTATTATTAAATTTGAATGAGCTACATTAGGGATTTAAGAGGTTGTTCAAAGAGGTTAATGAATTAGGAATACCGTTCATTAAATGTGAAGTCGTACACTTTAGCTTGGACGTGTGGGCTTCTGAATGTGCTGTGAGGCAGGCAGAGGGTTCAGGTTCATGCTCCTCTGTGGTTTTATGTCTGCTGTTTTTGTTTGCTACAGAGAGAGAGAACATAAATGTAATCCAAATGAGTCTTTCCATGCTACTGTAAATAGATTGTGAATACTGATGATCATTTTCAAGGTAATATTTACGAATGTTTTGCTGTACAGGCATGTCTGAGTGAGTGAATGAACGAGTGAGTTTGCAAGGGAAGTTGATTGTATCCTCTATGGAATGTTTTAATGTAAAAAAAAAAATGTAACAAAAAAAAGCAGCTTCAAGTCTCCTTTACTTCCCGACTTTGCGGTTAGCTTTCAGAAACTGTCTGGCAGCACGCGACTGCTATCAGCAGAGCTGCACAGCGCAGTTTAATGCCATCAGTGTTCCACCATCACTTCAGTGTCAGTCCAACTAAAAAGGTGAAATCATCGTTTACTGAACTCAGGCTTACGTTTTTGTTTTTTTGCCATTCTAACGGGAGAAATCCAAAGCTGTGACCGACTCAGAAACACACTGTTACGGACGTTCGCTCTCTCCACTTTAAACTCACCATCCTTTGACTTTTCTTTCTTTCTTTTTTTTTTATGAAGAAAAAAACTGCACCTTCATGAAAAAACACAAGCATGTTGAAAAAAAGTGCTTCAAGATTTCAACTTTACCATGAGTGTTTGCATAATCTTATATGCCCTTGTATGATGTTCGTATCTCTGTATTATGTGAAGACGTACACAGGTTGAGATGACCGGGTCCACAAGAGCCAAGCAGAGTATTTGTTCTAACTGGCAAAATTTAACCCTGGAATTACTTACTATTATTATCACTATTATTATTTGCTGGATTAACTATGTTTATTACTATGAAAGTTGCTTTAATTCTGCTAATTAGAATGACTGTGTTGTCATGTGACTGGAAGAAAATGCATTTATATTGCCCTTTTTTCAGGTTTTTATTATGCAAATTGAAAATACACTAAATAGTGGTTGTGTCACTGAATTTATACTTAAAGCTGGTTTTAGTTGTATGGAAGTGAAATGTATTCAGAAGATGAGCAAGATGACTTAAAATCTCAAAAAGAGCCTTTCATTGCTTGAAAACTAGATTTTATGGAAGCAGTAGTTGGTCATAAGCTGAGTTTCATCTAGGTTTTTTGTTTAGGTTAAAAATTTGCAGTACATTGTGGGGCAAGTAGTTTCTAATGGATGTTGTCAAAAGCATGCTAGCTGACCTTTTTTTAACACGCGGAAGTGTTTGGTGTGTAAGGAGTTTCTGAAAAATCAATGAAGAAAATTAATAGTAAATTTAGGAATTAGGGATTACTATTAAGCTCTGTTCAAGAAAAGTGCAAGTGAATGCATTTGCACTTATGTGCAATTGTGTTTGGGCATAGAGTTCTCATCTAAGGCATCTAAAAACTGAATCAAAAGTGCAAATATAAAGAACTTTTAGTTTTATGATTTTAAAATGTACTATGTTACCTTACCATATGTGCGTTAGCTTTTTATTTAGTTTGGCTAAGTTGATAACGTATATTGTCTAGCTAAATTCTCTGATACTTTCCTTACTTATTTGTATGTCATAAATGCAAAGGCTAGAGAGTTTAAAATATATATATAGCTACTGACTGTGTGTTGTATGTAGACTAATTAGCGGGGGTGGTTTTACCTAGCTAAAGTCTATACAGTTGTTCAGTAGCATTATGTTGAAACTTACAAGGAATTACAAGCATGTATGTGAATTGTTACCGACTATTTCAGTGTCCTCTTAGACTGAAAAAGTTGTTAGACTTTGTTAGCATTAGTAAATGCATTAGCTAGCTTTGGTTTAGCTGATGCTAAAAACACTCCACCACCTCTAACCTGAACAGCTAACTGACCAGTTGAGAGAATCTCTCTCGCTAAGATTTCTTTGTAGGACTAAAACTCTACACATGCTGCTCTTTGGCCCCTGGTGTCTCCCTGTAGGTGTCCTTGTCCAGAGCCTGCTAATTTAGCTGGCTGTATTTACTCTCTGCATGTGACCACAACAAACTCTCATCCTGTGCACTGTCGTTACGTCGACGGTGCTCTCACCTATCGGAGCGGCCACTGCCTGCCGCACTTAAATGTGGTGTGATAATGATGATTTCGATGATGATGATTTTCTGTTGATGGGGCTTGTATATCAGATGCCTTTGACAATCATGTGCACATATCAGAGTTACCATAACAACACAGGCCAGAGCGACTGATTGTGTTTTGTTTGTCTTTTCTCCTGGAATAAATCCTGAATGATCGTAAAATGACTCTCTACTCTCATTTACTCTTTTTCTCTGTCTGTTTGTGTGCATACTCGACAAAATGAGACTGACTTATTAGCACTACACAGTGTCAGAATGACAACTACATTCCTGCAAATGTAAACACTTTCGACTGTGTGTTATCTCTCAATATTTAAATACTCACATACTCAAGAATCCATGAATCTGGAACTAGAGCAAACACTCTTTACTACAGTCTGACTGCATGTAATGTATATGCTGTACAGCAGATGGCTTACACACAGAGGACAGATCTTGCAAACACTAAAGGCACGCCTTGCCTTTCAACAGATGTAACTGTCCAGCATAAAAGTGAACACTCTACTTGAACACGTTCTCCTTTGGTTTACACTCCAGTTATCACTACTTATTGGATGTCCTCATGTGTCATTACAACTAAGGGTTCAATAAAAGTGCAGAAAAAACTTTGGAAATACAACATATCACTCTGTATTTTTGTAGTAGTGATAGCTTTCACTACTACGGGCAGCACGGTGGCATGGTGATTAGCACTGTTGCTGCACAGCAAGACGGTCCTGAGTTCAATTCCACCATCAGGCCAGGGTCTTTCTGTGTGGAGTTTGCATGTTCTCCCCGTGTTTGCGTGGGTTCCTTCAGGTACTCCGGCTTCCTCCCACCGTCCAAAGACATGCAGTTTGTGGGGATAGGTTAATTGATTAATCCAAATTGCCCACAGGTGTGAGTGTGAGCGCAAATTGTTGTCTGTCTCTGTGTGTTAGCCCTGTGACAGACTGGCGATCTGTCCAGGGCATACCCCGCCTCTCGCCCTATGACAGCTGGGATAGGCTCCAGCACGACCCTGAAAAGGATAAGCGGAAGTTTTCAGTGACAGAAGTTTATAAACCTTTCAGCAGCCCAGCGTCACAACAAATTCATTGTTAAACTGCACTGATCAGGTTTTGGTTAAAATAAGAATTTTGTCTGAGTTAACAGCTATGGGATTGATTGTTATGAACTGCTGTACAGATGTGTATCATCACCAGTCAATGAATCCTGCTCATTTGTGGGAGCCTCTGACTTTTCATTTAGTCCAGTCATGTCATTTGATATGCTGTGTGTCAGCTACGTGACTCTGGTGTTCAGGTGTAATTTCACTTTTTGTATTATTTAGCTGCTAAGTCTTGGTGAAGTTAACGTCATGCTTACAATGCATATCTTTTGCCTCTAGTATCATATTAAACGAACATTTTAAACATATAACATTAGTGGCAATTCTAATGCTGTTAGTGTAAGCTGGAGAGCATCTACATCCCCATTGTCCTTTATCCCTCATTAACCATCAGAGAGCAACTTGGGGTTAGTGTTTTGCCCAAGGATATTTGGGAGCGGCCAGGGAATGAAGACCAATCTGCCAATTAGTAGATGACCTGCTCCACATCCTGAGTACAGCCACCCCATCCACCCAAAAACCCTACAATAATATAGGGAAAGCACCAAGAATCAGATGACACCCCCCTGCAATTGAGCAACTTTTGCAACAGTGAGAAGGAAAAAGTCAATTTTAACAGGAAGAAAATGCCAACACAACCAGGCTCAGGGAGGAGCGGCCGTCTGCTGTGACCTGTTGAGGGTGAGGGAGAGGAAATGCTGAGTGGTGTATAAACACATAGTGAGTGACAATAAGTAAGAAGAGAGGCAGAGAGTTCCACAGAAGAGAGCCTCCAGTTCTACTTTTAAATACCGGTTGGGGAGAGAGAAGGAAGACTGGATGAAAGACATGCTGTGGAAGAGAGCCAGAGATAATAATAACAATAATAATAATAATAATAATAATAACAAGTATGATTCAATGCAGAGAGGTCTATTAACAGCATGCTGTAATCTCTAATAAAATATTATGGCTAACAGTATCAACTGCTACATTGAGGAGAAGCAGGACAAGCACATAGATGAGCCCACTGTCAGAGTCCGTCTGCTGAAATGAACTCAGAAGGATCAATAGAAAAAAAGGAGTCTAAAAAAAAAGAATAGTACTAAAGGTAGCTGTAGAAAATGTTACATCTGTGAGGGTAT